GGACGGAGAGCACAGGGGTTAAGGAGCAAGTAGCCTGGCCCTGCTTAGTTCCCAGCTCCATAGTCTAAAGCATCACCGGGAGCAGCCAGGGGGCAATGCCAGAGGGACACAGGCATTCTCGGCACCGCAGGGCCTGAGGACATCCACACTGGCCCTCACACTAAACCACTGGTCCAGCTGGCTGAGAATGGCCCCGACAGATCCCAAGGCTCCAGAGCACAGCTCTGGAAGACAGACGAAAAGCAGCAACAACTTCGCTCTCTCCCCTCTGCGGCAAGCCCTTGTTCTCTCCAGAGATTTTTCTTCCTTTTAAATAAAATTTCTGCTTATTACTTCAAAAAACTAGAAGTTGCTACTTTCCAAAATTGGTTGTAGATTTTGCATTCCTACTAGCAGTATGTAATTATCAAATGAAGTAAATTCAGAGCAGAAATAGAGGTATTTCATAATGATAAAAGGGATTCATTATGAAAGCACAGCAATCCAAAATATGCATCTAATAATAAACTCCAAAATGAATGAAAACCCGAGAAAATTCCATAATGGTTTTATATATATATGCATATATATATATAAGCAACTCAAAAGAAGTGAACAAAGATGAAGTTACCTTAAAAATCTTATTTGTAAATTATATCAGTGATATTAATTTCTTTTGATTAGAATTTACATAATTCTAGGTATGGCCGAGGTAAAGGCCTGCATATAAATGGTCTGTATAGAATATATTCTTAGTATCTTTTTTCTGGATGTATTTTGTCTCATTTAGAGTATTCATGTTTGGTACATTTTTACTTTTCCACCCACTCTACTCCCAGAACTTTGAACATTTTATTCTACTGCATTCTGGTTTTATTTCTGGTGAGAAATTGGCCAGTGATCTTATGATTGTTCCCTATTACACATCACTTTGTTTTCAAGATTTTTCCTTCTTTGGCTTTAAGCAACTGATTATAATATATCCAACATTTCTTTTAGTGACTTGCCTTAATTTTTTGTTAATCAGATTACTGAGTTGTACAGTTGTTTTTTAGTAATTCACTAAACAGCACTGTAAAAGATGATGGACTCAATGTATCATGATAACCTATTCATACTGGAGACTAAATACCATTAAGGTTTGAATGACACTGTAGGAAATTCATGCAATGAAATAGACTACAGACATACTCTTAGAACATACTTGTCATTTTGTGGTGAATGACAGTATCAATTTTGGGAGTTCTGGGCTCCCAAAAAGATTTGTTTTCCTCATCTCCTTTGAGACTGTTATTCATATGCAGAAGTGTTGGAATGCTTTGATGATAGGTTTCCAAAGCATTTTTTTTTTTTTAGTGATTTTTGTGTTGGCGTTTTATTATAAATCTTCAACTTCCCACTGACTTCTGCCATTTCAGATGTATTTGTCTAACTTGTTCCATTTTGGTTCCTGGATTTTGATGTAGAATTTATCCAGTCTTTAGGCAGTTTGCAGTTTTCTATTGATTCCATGTTATCACATTAGCATGTTGTCTTTTTATTTCTTGAATATATTTATATTTGCTGTGAAATTCTTGTCCAACAACCGGTTCCATTTAGACTACAATTTTATCGACTTTCTCTCCCTGTGTCATTGTTCTTTTGTCTTTTACTGTCTTGGAATTTTGGGTTGAAAAACTTTATATGTTTTGACCAACTTGAATTTTTGCTTAATTTTTTAAAATGAGTATTTCAGTTTTGCAGGGTGTGATTTATCTATTTTACACTGTATATGCAGTGATGCTTCTGCTCAGTTTTATTTTGCCTTGGCTTCATCCTTATCTGCATGATGTAGGGATAAATCACTGATTTTGGTAAACACTAATTTTGATCATTTGAGAGTTGAAAATACTCTTAAAAGAGTATTGAGGCCAGAGTGACAGTACTGCAGGTAGGGCATTTACCTTGCATGCAGCCAACCCTGATTCAACCCCCGGCATCCCGTATGGTCTCTTGAGCGTTGCCAGGAATAATTATTGAGTGCATAACCAGGAATAACCCGAGTATCACCTGTTGTGGCCCACCCCCCACCCCCAAACCCCTTACCCTCCCAAAAAAGGTGAGACCTTAAGTCAGCTGTGGTAAGTAGTTTGAGGAGTATGTTCAAGGTTGCAACCGATTCTCAGTATTACTTAATTTAATTTTTCCTGTTTAGCAGTCAGGTATATGCCACTCAAAAGCATATACAATTTCAGGCACTTCCATTGTAGCACACTCCTCTTTCCAGAGTTCTGTCTTCCATATTCAGCCACCCCAGCATCTATGAAATTTCCCTTCTCATCTAAATTCAGTGTTATTTAGTTTACCTTTTCTACCCTTTCTTTCCTACCTTTAGGAAGAAATCAGAAATGAATACAGAATTTATCTCAGTGGGAAGCTTCTCTGATTCATCAGTTTTGCATTGCCTATTGTCCAATGTCTTATAGAGTCACTTTGTAAATTTTTAGTTTTCTAGTCATTGTAGTTGAACAAATCAATTGTCATTATAACTGGGAGAGCACAAGTTAGAATTTTTTAAAGCGGTTTTGGGGCCACACCTGGCAAGTGCTCAGGGGTTACTCCTGGCGGGGCTTAGTTGGGGAATCAAACAGAGGTGAATCGCATGCAAAAGCCCTTCCTGCTATACTACCACTCCAGCCCTGAAGTTAGGATTTTAAACAAAACTAATTAATGCCTAGTTGTGAATCATTACCATTAAATATCTGTGATGTTAAAATTTCTCCCAACTTCAAATGGGTAACATTGTGCATATTAAAAATGCATAACACTTCAAAAAATATACACTGAAAAATGATTAACAAGTGTTAACTAATAACTCTCCTACACATTTCCTTATTATGATTAGCAACATTCAAATTTATAATACATTGACTATAATTACTATCGTATATCTTAGTATTCACAAATTCATTTAACTGTTAAAATATTGGTAATTTAAATGTCAAATATCAAAATATTTAAATATCTCTAAATATGGGAACCTTGAATCCTTTGACCATTTTCTTCCCTTTAATGGTCATTCAATTCCCTTATTTTTTAATTTTTTTAAATTTTGTTATTTTCAAAAGAATCACCATGAGGTATAGTTACAGACTTACAAACTTTCGTGCTTACGTTTCAGTCATACAATGATCGTCTACTCCCTGGTTTTAAGAGTTTTATATATATATACCATACAGTATTTGTTTTCTTTTGTTCCACTTAGTATTAAAAACTTGGATAACAAATATTTAATTACTGCCATTAGGAAAAATGGTTACAACAGCATTACCTTGCCTGTTTTTGATGAAAGAACTTACTGTCCCTTCACTATCACCAGTTACCAAGACCCTCAACCACTGTTACGTTACTCCTCGTTGGTCCTCCGCTTCCCTCCACCCTGAGTAGTCTTTAAAGGTCAAGAGTTTGTCCTCATTAAATAGTCTCCGCTCCTTGTTTCCTTACATACACAGGTGAGTAAGAATCTGGTGTTTCCTTCTTATTCCACTCCAAAAGGTACTCTTCAGTTCCATCCAAGCTGGAGCAAACTACAAAAGCTCGTAATTTCTTAGCTGCATAAAACTTAGTTGTGTACATATTCCACAACTTCTTCATCCATTTATCTGTTACTGGACATTTGGGTTGTTTCCGTATCCTGGCGATTGTACTTAGCACTGCAATGAGCATAGGTGTGCAGGAATCTTCAAATGAAATGTTTTAGCATTCCTTAGATGACAACAAGTGGGATCAAGGAGGCCATAAGCTTTTAAAGATATCTCTGTGTTCTTTTTCAGAGATTTAATCATGCACTATTGCCACCTACACATTTCCACCAACACCCCATATTTTAATGTGCTTATTGGAATTTTTTGTTGAACTTTGTACTTTATACCTCAATTAGCCCTTCACATAATATACAGTAACTAAATTATTTCATTCAACAGTGTGCCTTATTTTTTTGCTATGCAAAACCTGTTAGTTTGATGGAGTTTCAGTTGTTTTTGCCAATTTAGTTGAAATCATTAAAGATACCTGAGGTCTGTATTGTAGTTCTGCTGGTTTTCCTTATTTGATGGATTCTACTCTGATCTTAAGATCTTTAACCTGCTTGAACTTTAGATTATTATATATTGATTGGGCTTTGACTTTTTTGGCACGTGGCTACACGACAATTAACGTTTCGTTTTGACGCAACTCAGGGCTTACTCTTGGTTCTGCGTTCAGGGGTCACTCTTGGCAAGTGGCTGGGGGACCATACGGAGTGGCAGGGATCCAGGCTGGGTTGTCTGCTTTCAAGGCAAACACCCTACCGCTGTACTATTCCTATGCCCCTGAATAATAATTTTAGATCAATTATAAAATAATGCTGTTAAACTCAAAAGCTTCTGTGTCTTTTCAATATACTTCAATGGTACATGAGTAATTATTTAGTCTACTATGATTGTTGGTGTTTTCTCTAGAATAGGCCATTGAGTCAGCGGTCACAGGACCCATGGGGGGGAAAAAAAACCCAGGTCCCGACTTCTCTGGGAAACAGACTGTTGCTGGCAAAATCTGACATTTTCAGTCGAACACAGATTGACTGGTCTTGTTACGGCCAGCGACCAGTGGCTTGGGACGTGGGAAGTAGACATCTTTAAGTCTGCTTTGGAGCTTCAAGGACAGTGTTCCAGCAGCAGCTTCCTAGTCATAAGAACCCCTGCCTCCCTCCACCACCTGCTCGTTAATGCATACAGGCGTATTCCTTCAACCTCTACTTAACCTCATAAACTTTATCATGTGACTGCGAATTGATGGAATGTGTGGGTGAATCTGTCCTGGTCATGCTGAGCTCATGAATCTAGAGGGCATCTGCAGCCCTCGATCTGAGATTGTCTTCATGTTCCTAGGGTCTACATGGCCACAGAATGGCCATGATAGTTCAAAATATTTATCTCACACACACACACACACACACACACACACACACACACACACACACACACAGAGAGAGAGAAACACAATATAATTAAGCATTGTTAGTTTATTTTACCTGCAACTGTTTCCATATGAACAGACTGTAAAAGCTGATAATAAGAAATATTAGAAAGAATTACTGATGTCAGAACATCATGCCTTCCAATCCATCCTCCATGAACTTCTTATAAAGTGCCATAAATTTGGCCACAAACGCTTCCAAGTGATAAATGGCCTTACTTCCCAGCTGTAGACGATGCTCATAGTAAGCTGCCATCTGAGCCACTTCTCCTTTCAGTTGCCCATCACAGTTATGGAGAAGTTCTGAGAGAAGGCCCTATGGAAATGCAATCAGTAATTTTTAAAAGTAGCACATTAAAAAAAAATGGAAGCCTTACATTTCATTTTTTTAAAGCTTGTCAAGTGTTTCATTGTTGTATATGGACCAGCAGTCTTTACTCAAAAGGAAAAAGTACTTTAAGCATCACAGTTATAACATCTGCTGGCCCAGATTAGATGCTGCTGGCTGTCTCTCTACACCCTCTTTCCCAGTGTCTGTATTTCTCTGTAAGCACCCGGTGCTGCCTGTAACTGTAACGGACAGATATAGGACCCTCCATCCCCCAAAGGTTGAGTATACATTCTTCTTTGGCGCACACATCTGTGACATTCCCAAATATCACTAAACTTACCTCCGTAAAATCAAAGACAAAAATCTTATCAACTATCTTCTCAGACCACAGTGCTTTGAAAATGGAAATTAATCAAAACAGAAATAGAGAAGAACTCAAATCCTTGGAAATCAAACAACTGCACAACAAGTCCATCGATAGGGAAAATCAAAAGAGAAATCAGAGGGCTGAAGCAATAGTACAGTGGGCAGGTTAAGGCGCTTGCCTGCACACATCTGAGCCGGGTTCAATCCCCCACCATCTCTACGGTTCCCTGAGTACTACCAGAAGTAATTCCTGAGTGCAGAGTCGGAACCCCTGAGCACCATCGGGTGTGGCCCACCTACCCGAGAACAAGAGAAACCAAAAGACTGATGCAAACAAAGGAGAATATGAGAATGAAGACACGAATTACCACAGGTTACCATAATATATGAAACCGAGCAGAGAGGCTGTAAAGAAAATTAATAGCAAGAGCAAGAAGCTATATAATACCAGTAAAAAGAACCTAAAACAGAGGATGAAAACATGGCAAATTTAGGCTTAATCCCCAACATCGCGTGTGGTTCCCCGAGTGCTGTGATTCAAAGCGCAGAGCCAGATGTAAGATCTGGGCATCACCAGGCATACCCCAAAAAACAAGGGGGAAAAGGGGCAAGGAAATAATAAAACTCAGAGCAGAAATCAATAAAATGGAAACAACAACAAAAAGATGACTGAAATCAGAATTCTTTGTGAAACAAGATTAGTTAGACTCACAAAGATAAAAGTAAACGACACTAATAAACTGAATCATAAATCAAAGGGGAGAAACAACAGCAGATACTACGGAAATTTGGAAATTTTGATGCCACAAGTTAGAGAACCTAGAGGAAATGGTTACATTTTGAACTCATGACTTCCCAAGACCGAACCAGTAAGATATGGAGCATCTGAAGAGACCAAATGCTACCAAGAAAATGGAAATGGTGATCAAAATTCTCCCTCTAAACAAAAGGGTAGTCCCAGATGGGCTTACTAGCAAGTTCTTCTAAACTTTTAAAGACCTACTTCCAATCCTTTTCAGGTTCTTTCAGAAAGCTGAGGAAAGAAGAACCATCCCAATTTCTATGAGGCAACAATACCCTGATTATCAAAAGCAATGATAACACTAAAAAAAGAAAGCTATCAATTGATATCCCTGGTTAATACAGACTAATGATCCTTAACTGAAATATCAATAAACCAAAACCAACAATAAACAAAAGAATCAAACTCCATGGCTAAGTAGGATGTATCTGAGGGAGCGAGTAATATACTTAATTCAATATACATAATACACTGTCAAGAAAAGGAAAAATAAAAACTGTGATCATATCAATAGAAGCAGAGAAAGCATCAACAAGATTCAACATCTATATATAATCAAACTAAATAAAGTGGGAATAAAAAAGAACTTGTCTCAAGAGAATTAAAGCTGTTTACCATGAACACACAGCTAATCTCAACAGTGGAAAAAATAAAAGCCTTCCCTCTAAGATCAGGCATAAAATAAGGTTGCTCACTCTCATTATTTTCAATGTAGTAGTGGAAGCCTTGGCCATAGCAGTTAGGCATGAAAGAGATATTAAGGGTATTCAGATTGGGAAAAAAAAAGAAGACATAAATCATCACTATTTGCAGATGACACATTACTTAAGCCCTGAAAGACTACCAAAAGACTGCTAGAAACAAGTAAACCTATACAGTGATGTGGCCGGCTGAAAAACACACAGAAATCCACATCACTTTACATGCAAACAGTGGAACAGGAGAAACTTGAAACACATCTCATTCTCAACTGTGTATCAAAAATCAATTATCTGGTAATCAGCTTAACAAAAGAGAAGGAAGACTTACATAAAAGAACCGATAAATCACTCTCCAGGCACACTGTGCTGCTGTCTGAAGTGACCCTCCAAGTTTCAGTTCAAACACGCCTCCCTCAAAGTCATCAGTGACCTACAGGCCTGTGCCCCACTGTCATTTTATCCAGTTACTTTCTTTGTTGCATGTTTGATCTGCTGTTTTCAGGCCACTCCGCTAAAATCTAACTTCTCGTAACAGAATCTCCCCCCCACCCCCACCCCTTACCTCCACTTCTTCAACACTCTCCTAACAGTGCTTGGCTCAAAATAACTGTTAAATTAATAAGGAATAATTAATAGGAAGAGGTGACAATGATTTAAGTACTGCAGAAGTCATGTGGTCACATGCTGCGAAGTCCAAATTTTGATGGTTGTAAACAGTAAAATCATTATTCTTTATTATTTTTTACCTTCATTATTATTTCAGGAGGAATACAGTGAGTTAGAAGCTCATAAAGTCTTCCACGAACTTCAAGAAGTCTACATAAAGAAAAATATTTTCCAATTAAAAGGTAATTTTTCAAAGGATCTACTGTGCAGTTTGCATTTTACGAATTATGTTCTCAAGTTTAAGATATGTACACAGAAATTTTTCAGAATTCCAGCCATTATTCTAAAAAGTCAAAGTAGTCACTTGGTGCTGCTTGGGTCAATGATCAAAATCACAACAGCTCTCCCAATTTTCATGAAGAGAAATTTCTTTTTATACAGCACAACAAAATCAATTCCTGCAATTTTAGTCTAAACAGGAATCAGCAGTACTTCTATTTTAACAAGTTCATTTATGCATGCCAAAACCTATTTGAAAAACAGGACGAGCAGCAGCAGCTTCAAGAATTAAGTAAAACAATAATCAAGCGAAATCTTAGAAATTTATCTAATAGGTTCCCAGGAAGTAGCTCAGCAGCAGAGCAATTGCCTTGCAATTGTGAGTCCCTGCGTACAATCCTCACTGCTACAGAAAACATAACTAAAACATTTAATAACTATTACACATTGCAACATCTCTATGAAAATCTCTAAAGATATTTTTTCCCCATAAAACCAGAACAAAAATAAGAAAGTCACCATAAGAAAGATAGCACAGTAGGTAGGGTGTGGGCTTTGCACGAGGCCAACCCTAGTTCAATCCTCAGTACCTCATATGGGCACCACCAGAAGTGATCCTGAGAACCAGGAGTAAGCCCTGAGCACCAGCCTCCTCCCCACACAAAAAAAAGTCATTATCAGTATGGACATGTTTTATGAAAGTGAAAGATTCCCTGACATATGCTATGTTTCCATTTTTATCTCCTTAGAAATAATAGTCTTATATCTCCTTCACATTTTTGTTCTGGTTTTACAAACATAATGAAATACATATTTTTTCCCTAAATTCAAAATTTCTTTCCTGAAGACACTACATATCTTTTCTGAAGTGTGTGATGTTTCACTATGTGAAAACCAAAGCTTCCACTAAAATAACTGAATTACTAGAATTCAAATGAAATCTCATAAAGAATACTGAGCGCCTATTATGTATGACTAGTCACCTTACGAATCTATTTTGCTGCTGAAGTGTACCATGTTACACTACCCTAACCTTCCCACGAAGATGCTCACAGGAGCAGAAACAGTATATTTTTTTCACAATTTTCACTTAAATCAGGTAAGTTTAAATTTGGTATTGCACTCCGTATTTTGTTCCATAAAATCATCAATTATTATCTCTAAAACATAAAATATAAAACATAAAAATGGCCTCTCAGAATGAACAGGAAAGGGGAAGTAAGTTCCAGTCTGAGGAACCTTCTCCAGGATTCCCAAAGTGTTAGGAAGCCTGTTGTTCCTGAACTGAAGAAGAGCACACTGCAATTCTCCAAGTTGTCATAAATGAAACAACCAGGTAGTTGAAATCATTTCAGAGAGGTTCACAAAAAGACCAACAAAGTAAATACAAACAATAGAACAGCAAATGTACCAAGAATACTTCCTAAATTCTAGTGCTATATAGTGTCCTTAACAGAGTCTACCACTGACAGGAAGGAGCACAGACTTTTCTAGTTTCCAACCAATTATTAATAACCTCTCTGGCAGCTCATAGCGAAAAGCAAAAGCAAAGTTACATGGTAACAGAAATTTCAGTACATAAGCTGAAGCCCTGAAATGAAATTACCTGATCAATGACAGGAGAAAATCTAGAAGACTTGACGCATAGTCTCCTGTCTTCCTAGTAGGTTATGCAGCAGTTACACACTAAATATTCTTTTAAATACTATCAAGCTAGATACACTTTGCGATGTACTGAATATTAAGTCATCTAAGATCCTAAAGAAAAAGCTAAATTTCCAAGATTTATTTAAAGTATAAGTTCCATATTTACCTGTCAACAGCTTAATAAAAATCCTGATACATCAACTATTCTGAATGACTAAATTTCTAAAACTGAATGTTTTTTGAATTAAGTGATTTTGTATCTAATTAGAATATAAATGACGTGGTGTTTAAACAGCTTATCTACACTCCAAAACATGTATATCATCTTGGTGATCAATGTTTACTGTGATCTTTATATCGGTTACCTTTGCGGGGTCTGCTGACTGACTATAGCATTGGCAGTCTCCCTCAGATACACCTCCCAATCAGTTTCAGGGATTTCTTGATCTGCAGTAAAAGGATATCTACGTGAAAAAAGAATACAGTAAGTTGAATAAAAAGTACACCCACGTCCCAACATGTTTCCATGTGAACTTCCTTTTACTCACTGCTGAACTCTGCAAGCTTCACACATAAGTAGGGCTTTTCTGAGATTTCTGCAAGACTTCTCTGCAAGTCTCTGAGCCAGCTGTGGAGGCAGAGTCAGACCTTCCTTCTTGCACACAGTAGATAACACTTGGCAAATCTACAAACAACAAAAATAGGCAACGTGTCCAATAGCATGCTGGATTATAATATCTAGATATTTTTCTGTCACTCTCCTGCCCTCACCCACATGCCACCTACAGTCATTTGGCAAGAAAACTAGTTCTCAAAGAGAAAGCGACTGGCTCTGCATTTGGTAGACCTGGTTCAAGCTCCAAACAAGCCAGTCTCCGTGGGGCAGCAGAGACTAGGAAGCACAGGGATCCAGATCAATGGCAAGGATACGGCTGACAGGACTATGCTGAATTCTGCGTGACTAAAAGGTATTATTTACATGCCTGAGACATGAAGAACGTCTGCAGAGGGGATTATCTGTAGCACAGCCTGCCACAGAAGCCCTTTCAGCTGCATTTTATCCAAAACTTTTCCAAGCGAAGCTTAGGGTAAATCACTCCTGGCAACTACATAATGCCACATATTATTCCTACTTCACATTAATAACCCCAAATCTATTAACAAGGTAAAGGTAAAGGCCCTCCCGTTGATCGTCGATTTGCTCGAGCGGGCCCAGTAACGTCTCTATTGGAGACTTTGTTGTTACTGTGTCTGGCATATCGAATACTCTCGGTAGCTTGCCGGGCTCTCCAAGAGGGGCGGAGGAATCGAACTCGGGTTGGCCATGTTGGCCGCTTGTAAGGCGAACGCCCTACCCGCTGTGCTATCGCTCCGGCCCTATTAACAAGAAATCTTATTAATTATTGTGAGAAATTAAATATTTTTATTAATAGCCATAAGAGGGATAAAGAAAGGAAATATGTAATTTCAGACTAACTGGTCCCCTAACTAAAGACCTGGTATGCCTCCTTGAAAAACCTTTTTTAATCAGGTTGAGGGAGAAGACACTATAGACCTTATCTACTATAATTAAATTTATAATACCTACTTATTAAAAGAGGCAATTCAAAGAGAACACTATATATTTCATCTGACTATATATACACAGTAATAAAGACATATGCAGTGATACATTATAGATATCTCTATGCATCTTTGTATCTACATACTGATTGGCATCCAGGTCATACTATTCCTGAATGACCCATCTACTACGCTCCTTTACGAAGACACACTTGAAAGGAATATCTACATGGTACCCATAGCACCTGACCTGATTTTCACTGACAAGTGTAACATGACTTACATCTTCAATGCTTGGAGCGGGCACCCGAACTGCCAGGCATCTACTCCGAATGGGTGGGATCACCTTCGATGTGGAATTGCAGCACAAGATCAGTCTGCAGGTGGACATATACTTTTCCATGGTTCTGCGCAAGGCATGCTGGGCATCTTTGCTCAGTTTGTCAACCTCTGTCAATAATACCACTGAAGTAGCCAAGAAAAACAAAACAAACCTTAAATTAAGTGTCTTGCTCCTTCTCTTCCTGGTTATTCAGAGGAAAATCCGAGCCCGATCAATAACTGCTCTCTTTGGCAAAGGCGTAGATAAAATTTATAGTTTTGATGGGAAAGACTGTTCTGTAATCACATAAACCTAAGAAATATCCAACTAACTGAAGTCTAAGAGGTAATTTTGGAATGTGAACTTCAGTATCAACTTTAATGTATTTAGATACAGTAAAAACCATCAAAAATGTACTGTGCTACATTACCCAAAAATATTGTTCTTTCAGGAGCTCATTTTCATGGAACAACTAAAACTGTAAAATGTCACAACCTCCAAAGTCAAAAACCCACACTCAACTCTTAACTCTCCTAGACCTATTACTTTAATTACTAACATAAAGAGTTAAACATATTCTGTATGTTGTATATATTCTACAATCTTACAATCGAGTCTAGATTAACTAGATTAGATCAATCTTACAGTTAAGATTAGATTAAAACTGCAACTAAGAATAGAAAAAAATTAAGAAAAGTAAATTTACGGTGGGCTGGAGCGATAGCACAGCAGGTAAGGCGTTTGCCTTGCACGCAGTCAACATGGCCGACCTGAGTTCGATTCCTCCACCCCTCTCGGAGAGCCTGGCGAGACCGGCAAGCTACCGAGAGTATCTCGCCTGCATGGCAAAGCCTGGCAAGATACTCGTGACGTATCCAATATGCCAAACATAGTAACAAGTCTCACAATGGAGACGTTACCGGGCCCACTCGAGCAAATCGAAGAACAATGGGAGGTCAGGACAGGACAGGACATTCATGGTACTTTATTGATACATCAAATTATGTTTTCTGCTTACAAAAAAAAAAAAAAAAACAACCGTGTGTTCAACAAACCCAGAAGGTTCAAGGGCTAACTGTATTTAAAAAAAAAACACTGATGCAAGAGATAAAGTCGTTGAGGCATACACTGAAATTCCACCTGGTCAACATAAAGGTTTTGACTTTGTGTGTTTCAGGAATAATATGTTGGTAGGGACTGAATCCAACCTCTTATTTTTCGTTATGCTAAATTATTTTCAGATGATAAAAGTGGTAGCTTCGTATCTGAATCTTCCATAAAAACAGAACTAAAAATTCCAAACCCAAAACTCATGGACTACATTTTTATCAAAACCAACAGTCAAGCTTTACCTAAGAATCCAAAATATGAGCAAGTGAGAAAAAGCAACTACATGAATAGAAGTGGAAGTTATCCAATAAGTTTCTGACGGCCTGTAAGACAGAAGCAGTCCCTATGACCACAAGAGTACGCCAGAAAGCAGAACTGAATGATCTGAGGACAGCATCCACAGGGATCAACTTGTCTGTGAGAAAAAAATGAACCTGGCCAGTAAACTGAAAATTGTAAAGTTCCCTTCCAAAAATACTTCAAATGAGGAGGAATTCTAGCAACAGAATACATATTGAACAAAACAGAAAAAAGAAACGAAGCAGGGAGACTGATCCCAAAATACGACAAGGATTGCCAAACAAAAGGAACCAGGCCAACTGATACGTAAATAAAAATCTCTAGGAGGCAGAAAATAGCAATGTATTTTTAAAAGTTTACACATTATATCTAAGTGAGATTTACTAGAGAAATGCAAATATGTTTAATTAGAAAATCCAGCAATATAATCTAAATTACTAACAGAGTAAGAAGCCAAGGTCATTAACACCACACTTTTGGAAATACAAAGCATGTGGAAAAAATTTAATACACATTCATATGTACCTCCAAATAAAAATTGCCTAGATTTTTGTCATGATCAAACAGATATAATGAAGCCAAAAGTCTAGCAACTAAATCAACAGGGAAACCATCACGATTACTATCTAACGATGTCTACTAGGGCTGGAGAGATAGTTGACCCGGGTTTGATCCCCAGCACCCATATGGTGCCCCATGCCCACCAGGAGTGATCCCTGAGCAGAGCCAAGAATAAGCCCTCAACACAGCCAGATATGGCCCAAAAACAAAAAAGAAAAAAATAAGTCTAATATCTCTACTATTACTATTATTATCTAAAAATATCTGATTATCTTCACTACTACTAAAAACTATATTGGATGTGCAAACATAATTAGACAAGAGAAAGTTGAATACCTGATATCTTGATCTGTCTTAAAAAAGAGAAAAGTAATGTGCACACATATGGTATTTATTTTTAAAAAAAAGAAAGACTGCTGCAAGCAATATAGTAAGTTTAAGATAACAAGCATTATCAACAGTCATCCACGAAAACAAAGAAGGTTAAAAAATATAGAGAAGATTTCATTTACAAGAGTGAAAGGAATGTAAATTTATTTTGAAATGGGGGAGCTGGAACAAAAACAGGCTGAAATTCCAAAGGCAGCTCACAAAGCAATACAAAGAGCAATAAAGAAAAAAATCGTATTAAGGAAAAAATAAAATAGAAACTATTTTCTCCACTGAAGCTGACAATTAAAAATATCCACAATGTTGATGTCAGAGAAATAGATGTCTCAAATACAAGATGCAGTATAACAATACTTTCAGAAGAATTTCAAAAGCATTAAAATGTTTACAAATCTATTATCACAAATTCTTCTCTAGTAATGATATACTTGTGTAGAAAGGGGGGATACAGAAAAAAATGTGGATAGTCTCTAGTTGGTGGAATTACAGCTCATTTAACTTTCTTTTTCTTTCAATATTTGGTAACAACCTTATTTCTAAGTGATTTTTTTAAAAAAAACCACTTTTATAAATCAACTGATTTACAAAGTTATTGATAGTTGAGTTTTAGACAAGTAATTTTCTTTGCTTTGTTGGTATTTTGTCCACACCTGGCTGGGCTCAGGACATAGTCCTGGTTCTGCACTCAGGGATCACTCCTGGCCAACTCAGGGATCTTATGGGGTGTCAGGAGTGGAACCCGGGTCAAACATATTCAAGGCTACGTTCTACCTACTGTAATATCACTCCAGCCCTTATGTTCTAATAAGGGTTGCTGCTGTTGCTATCCTGGTTCTACAACAGAAAACTGGTAGCACAATCTTTTTTCCACCAAAATAACTATGTGGTATATAGCTATAGCTATGTGGGGCACCACCAAAATTCAGTGTGTTTAAAACCTAACGCCCTTGAGGTATCAGGCCTCTTTTATATGGAAGAGGAAAAAAGATATTATGTTTTCCATAGAAACAAGTTAATAAAGATTTGCTAAATACTGTATCAAGTGATTCATTAAATTTTTTTAAAAAAATGATATTTTCTCTTAAACACCACCTACAATTTGAGTATCTGCCTCTTACAAAGAATCTTTTATGTACATACCTTTAAAATCTCTTTGAGAATTTGTTTCAAGTTGCTGTGATTGTGCTACTGTCTTTAACATCTCCTGAATTACTACTCGATCACTATTTCCAGCATCACTGTATTAAACAACAAAAAAATTAAACATACATGTAAATACTTAGAAAGTGCTTTCCACTAATGTTATTTTTAAAAAAAGAAGTTATTGAATGGTTACTATTTAAGTCAAAAACACCCAATGATATTCATAAAATTTAAAAAAATAACCGAGGATCATTGGAAATGATATCCTAATATCCCAAAATTCCAATATCCAATTACAACCTGATCAACATCACCAAAAACGCTAAACATGCAATTATAAACTTATTTTTTCAAAAAGCAATCACTTAATCACTTCACTTAACTTCCCGTTAGTCGTCGATTTGCTCGAGCGGGCGCCAGTAACGTCTCTATTTGTACCTGTCGCGTGCTAGTGTAGCCCAATGGCATCTCTTCGCTCCGGGAACATGGAGGGCCTCAAACCGATTGTTCATGATCTTGACAAAGAAGTCTGACCATCTGGTAGGTGGGCGGCCACGCGGTCTCTTGACATCCCGTGGAATCCAATCAGTAACAGCTCTAGTCCAACGGTCGTCTTTAAATCTCATTACGTGACCAGCCCATCTGATTTTCGACACCTTGGCATATGAGACAGCGTCCCTGATCCTTGATCGTCGACGGATGTCAGAACTCCGGATTCGTTCTCTCATTTGAGTGAAACGTGATACTCCAAGCATAGCTCTTTCTATTCTTCTTTGGGAGACCTGAATGGCGTTCTCATCTTGTTTGCGTAGGGCCCAGGTCTCTGAGGCATATGTTAATACAGGAAGAACAGTGGAATCAAAGAGATGTGCCCGGAGCCGGAGGTTCTTCGTCCTCTTAGCTATTTCTTCGACGTTCTTGAAGGCGTTCCAAGCCGCTCTCTTCCTCCTGCGCAGCTCGGGTGCCAGGTCATTTCTCATGTTGACCTCTCGACCTAGGTACACATAGCTGTTGCATTCGGAGATGGTCGTTCCATTGAGAGCTATCATCCTCCAGAACGGCAATGGAGAAGATTATCCATGACTTCTACTCAAATCTCTTCGATAGCCATGTCCACTTGCCGACATACCAAATTCCACAGGATGGGTATGTCGTTCCTAACGTTCTCCCTTCCGAAATCCAACACGCCATTTCGTTGGTAAAGAAGCAAACAGCACCCGGCCCAGACAAGGTCAGACCTGAACACCTGAAGAACCTGCCGTCAGTACTCATCAATACACTGGCTCGGCTCTTCACTCGCTACCTGTCTGAATGCAAGGTTCCGTCCCAATGGAAAACCAGCAGGACCGTACTACTGTTCAAGAAGGGAGACATCCATGACACTGGCAACTATCGCCCGATCTGCCTATTGTCTGTCATCTACAAGTTGTTCACTCGAGTCATCCTAAATAGGATTGGCAGAACACTAGATGAAGGACAACCATGCGAGCAAGCAGGGTTCCGCAAAGGATTCAGCAGCATCGACCATATCCACACGATAACCAAGCTCATTGAGGTTTCTCGGGAGTTCAAGATGCCGCTCTGCTTAACGTTCATTGATTTAAAGAAGGCCTTTGATTCTGTTGAGACGGAAGCGGTCATTGAAGCCCTAGCCAATCAGGGCATTCAAGCCCAATACATCAGGATCCTCCGTGAGCTGTATTGCGGATTCACTACCAGGATCTCACCATTCTACAAAGAAGTGATCGTTGATGTCAAGAGAGGGGTGCGGCAGGGTGATACCATTTCACCGAAACTCTTCAGTGCCACCCTCGAGAACATCATGCGACGACTGGAATGGGAAGGAATGGGAGTGAAGATAGATGGTCGGCAACTACACCACCTCCGCTTTGCTGATGACATTGTTTTAATAACACCAAACATCAGCCAAGCGGCACAAATGCTGGCCAACTTTGACCGTGAGTGTGGAAAGGTAGGACTACAGCTGAATCTTACGAAGACAATGTTTATGAGAAACAGCCTTGTTCCTGACGCCCCATTCGCTCTCAATGGAACGACCATCTCCGAATGCAACAGCTTCAAAAAGCAATACCAACAAGTTTATCAAACACTTCAGATATTCTGTATGTATTGCATTTAATATCTAATTATAACTAGTTTCTTAATTATCTCCAAATATTAACAATATAGATAGGGTAACAAGAAAGTTAATCTCAATTCTTTTCCATCCCCCAAAGAGCAAAACTTTTACAAGCCTCAACCAACTCAACTCCTAGCATTAGTAAGAAACTGATTCAGGGAAGGGTAAGGCTACACAAATAAAGATACAAAATGAAGCTGTAAGTGGCTGACTTTTTGTTGGCATTATCATATTAATGTCTTAGTACTAATAGTCAAGTACCTTCACAAGCCAAGTCACCTAGACTGTCAATACCAAACAGCTTTAAAAAAAAAAAAACACATTAAACTCTAATTGTCTATTGTCCTTGCTACAAAGAAACTCACAAGGGGATAAAAAAAAAGTCAGTTTCAGTTAATTTTTCCAAAGAGTTATCACGTCTTTCTCAATTCTCTAGTAGATCAATATACCTCGTGTTTCTTTTGATAACATTTCCAGGTCAAGAATTCAAAGTACTGGGTCTGGAGCAGGTAGGGAGTCTTTCTTGCAAGCAGTCACGGCCAAACCAAATTGAATTCCAAGGAACTCATATAGTCCCCAGAGCCCAGCAAGAGCGATTGCTGAGTTCAGAGTCAGGGGAAAGCCCTGAGCACTGCCAGGGGTAGCCCAACAGCAAAAAATAACATCTAATTAAAAATAAATTTAAAAAAAATTTTCCAAGTATTTCTTTTTGTCTACAGAATTAACATTATCTCTACTTCTAAAAGGCGAGACCTTTAACACCAACCTTATTTTTTCTTTGACATATCTGGGTTGTCAATTAACTTTTTTGAGGACTAAATAATCCATTTAAATACTCTCATATATTGCCTGCTACTGAGTGAAAATGAACTGTACATTCTGCTCCTCTTACTCCAACCATGAACAGTGTTCATCCAAAATATGAGTTCACTCTGGACTCTGTTCAAAGTTACCTTTGCCTGGATTCTATTTTGCTTCAAGAAAGAATCAGCTCACAGACTCCTTTAGTCTTCTGCAGCTTTGCTCCCAATACAATCATTTACATACAATTTAGTTAAGGACTTATTAACTGCTGTGGAATGGGCTTTCAAGGTGCTATCCAAAAAAACCCTTTATTATCAGATAATAGATAATAGACACTGGCTGGATTATTAAAATAAGCTCTAACCAAGATATGGAAACAAAGGAAGTGGTGATATTTCCCTCAGTTCAGATAAGTACTTTTATGGGGGGGGGGGGGGCAGGAGGGCTATAGCACCATACTGGCAGTACTCAGGGATTACTCCCAGTTTTGTACTCAGTAGTCATTTTTTTTTTAAATTTTTATTAGTGAAACACCATGAGGTACAGTTGTAGATTTACAAATTTTTGTGCTTGGGTTTCGGTTATACAATGATCAAATACCCATCCCTCCATCAGTGCCCATCTTCCGCCACCATGGATAACATCCCTCCCTCCCCATCCCCCGCCCCCGCCATGGCGGGGCATTCCCTTTTGTTCTCTCTCTCCTTTTGGGTGTTGTGGTCTGCAAAAGAGGCATTGAGGGGCAAACATGTTCAGTCCATAGTCTACTTTCAACATACATCTCCCCTCCTGGGAGGATCCTCCAAACACCCTTTATTTGGTGCTCCCTTCTCTATCTGAGCTACCTTTTCCCCTAGAATGCCCGGCTGGCCTCTAAGCTATGGTGTAATCCTCCTGGTGCTGATCTCAGCTATTCTTGGGTATTAATCTCATATTTTGTTTCAGTAGTCATTTCTAATAGTGCTTAGGGTACCATGTAGTGTTGGGATTCTACCCAGAACTATCTCTCCAGCCCAAGATATAAACTTTTTAGATATACTTTGCTTATCAGTTCCAATGAACGGAATTTAACAAAAACTAACTCATCATTCAATATAGTTTGTACAAAACACTAAACTGTAAAAAGCAAGATAATTTGATGAAATTATTTAATGCAGAGCTCTCAGAGAGAAGAAAAATGGAAGGTTCTAAGCTCCGTATTTCAGAAGACAGTTTTACTGTTAATTTAAAAAATGTTCTTAAAAAAATAACATCTGAGCATCCCTACTCCCTACTTAAAAAAAAAAAAAGCCTGGACAATTCTACTCCCTACTCTAACTGCTTATTTCTTGGCCTGGAGTGGCAGTATAAAGGGTAGGGTGCTTGGGTTCTATGCTTGGTATCCATATTGTCCCCTAAAGGAATAATTCCTGAGCGCTGAGCGAGGAGTAAGTCCTGAGCACTGTTGGGTGTGGCCACCCTTACCCCCCAACAAACTAAAAATGCTTTTTTCTAGAAACTTACCTGGGATTAACTTCAAGATGGTAATTGCTTGCAATAGTGCTAATTTCAATTTTCTTTTTAGATGGAGTCTATTGGGAAAAATCAAGACTTAAAAAAATGTATCCTTTGGCTATTTTATCCACCATTCTATCTTTATTAACTCCAATGATATCATACATGTTTTGTGATTACTTTTTTCCTTTAAGTCCAGTCGTCTACAAAACATTCCCATTCATCATAGCATTATAACACGCTACATACGTTCTTTCACCTTTTTCATAACTCACAAGAATAAGCAAATACAAACATATTCCTATAGCTATATTAAAAGTTCATACTTTAAATTCAATCTATTTAATGTTTTAAGTCTTTTACTCATCTAGAATTAATTTTTATAAATTAGTCAATTATTTTCTAAAAATAAAAATAAATTAGTTTTCTCTGATAGAGACAATTTTCTTACTAAATCCCCACAAATTTTACAAGAATTTCCATGTCTATCCCATCAGCCCTGCATGCTCAATTTCTAAACACAAGCCAATCACATTAACCTACAATCCATTTAAAATTTCTATTAATAGCACCACCATCAATCCATCAACTCCACACCTTTTCTGCAACTATGTGAACTACCTATTTATCCACAGAAAATGAACAATATACCTATACTATAAAGTTAGCTTTAACTTCAAACTATTTTGCTAAAGATGTATACGTCATGTATGTGTAAACACACACAGTCAACGCAAATTACAAATTACTGATGAAGGTGAGCCAGAATAGATGACAAGAATTCCCTAAACTCTCAGTATCATTTCTCTCTCCCAGTCAATCAGCTGCCCAATCTTGATTAAGTAACCTAATTCCACAAAAATACATTATTCTCAAAATCTTTCTGTTTCCCCCTGTACCCTCTGTAGCTCTCAGAACAATAAACTTTAGAAACTTGAGTGCTAACTCCATCTGAGAAACTGATTTACTAGGTAATATGAAATGAACCTGCCACCTATATTTCACCAAGTACTTATTTTTTTGTATTTTCTAGCAACTAATTTTTGTCTGGCTATAGTTAGGGTTAGCTCTCATTCCTGTGTACCGGGATCATCTGTGAGATCAACACTTAACTCACGCAGGAAGCAGCAAGGCAAGGGAGTGTACATACCCTTCAAGGATAGAAGACCCCTGCTATAACCCATGGGAAATCAAAGAAAAATGCTTACCGTGATGGTCTGATGTTCAATTCTCAGTTTTTCCACTCCAACACCATAAAGTTCACGTAGAATACACATAATTCTAGTCTTTTTTCCAGCACCTGAAGGTCCATACACTAACAGATGAGGAAAGTCCCCACACTGAACCTGAAATACAAGAGAACATTTTCCCTAACCGAATAACCACTCTCGGTAGAATTAAACTACTTACAAATATTTTTCATCTCTACTCCCGAAATTCCAAATAATCATATATGTATATGAGCAGATAGAGATGTTTCAATTAACTCTCAAAAGTTGACTATTCCTCTAGCAATAACACTCTGTAACTTATGTACCTAAAAGTACACGCAGAACAGAGTATATTAATCACTTAATCACTTAACTTCCCGTTAGTCGTCGATTTGCTCGAGCGGGCGCCAGTAACGTCTCCATTTGTCCCTGTCGCGTGCTAGTGTAGCCCAATGGCATCTCTTCGCTCCGGGAACATGGAGGGCCTCAAACCGATCGTTCATGACCTTGACAAAGAAGTCTGACCATCTGGTAGGTGGGCGGCCACGCGGTCTCTTGACATCCCGTGGAATCCAATCAGTAACAGCTCTAGTCCAACGGTCGTCTTTAAATCTCATTACGTGACCAGCCCATCTGATTTTCGACACCTTGGCAAATGAGACAGCGTCCCTGATCCTTGATCGTCGACGGATGTCAGAACTCCGGATTCGTTCTCTCATTTGAGTGAAACGTGATATTCCAAGCATAGCTCTCTCTATTCTTCTTTGGGAGACCTGAATGGCGTTCTCATCTTGTTTGCGTAGGGCCCAGGTCTCTGAGGCATATGTTAATGCAGGAAGAACAGTGGAATCAAAGAGATGTGCCCGGAGCCGGAGGTTCTTCGTCCTCTTAGCTATTTCTTCGACGTTCTTGAAGGCGTTCCAAGCCGCTCTCTTCCTCCTGCGCAGCTCGGGTGCCAGGTCATTTGTCATGTTGACCTCTCGACCTAGGTACACATAGCTGTTGCATTCGGAGATGGTCGTTCCATTGAGAGCGAATGGGGCGTCAGGAACAAGGCTATTTCTCATAAACATTGTCTTCGTAAGATTCAGCTGTAGTCCTACCTTTCCACAAGGTTCCATCTCAATGGAAAACCAGCAGGACCGTACTACTGTTCAAGAAGGGAGACATCCATGACATTGGCAACTATCGCCCGATCTGCCTATTGTCTGTCATCTACAAGTTGTTCACTCGAGTCATCCTGAATAGGATTGGCAGAACACTAGATGAAGGACAACCATGTGAGCAAGCAGGGTTCCGCAAAGGATTCAGCACCATCGACCATATCCACACGATAACCAAACTCATTGAGGTTTCTCGGGAGTTCAAGATGCCGCTCTGCTTAACGTTCATTGATTTAAAGAAGGCCTTTGATTCTGTTGAGACGGAAGCGGTCATTGAAGCCCTAGCCAATCAGGGCATACAAGCCCAATACATCAGGATCCTCCGTGAGCTGTATTGCGGATTCACTACCAGGATCTCACCATTCTACAAAGAAGTGATCGTTGATGTCAAGAGAGGGGTGCGGCAGGGTGATACCATTTCACCAAAACTCTTCAGTGCCACCCTCGAGAACATCATGCGACGACTGGAATGGGAAGGAATGGGAGTGAAGATAGATGGTCGGCAACTACACCACCTCCGCTTTGCTGATGACATTGTTTTAATAACACCAAACATCAGCCAAGCGGCACAAATGCTGGCCGACTTTGACCGTGAGAGTATATTAGAAAGCAAGAATTCCCAATACGACTGACTTCAAGACTCTGCTAAGAACCTCCTCAAAAAAAAAAAAAAACCTGATCGATGACTGGACATAATCCATAAGATGACTGGAAAATTGAGATCCATGTGTATCATTAGTTAAGTTTCTTAAGACTGTCCGAATGTACAGTACTGAACACACTGTTTATATGTGAAATAAAGAAAAACTGTGCGGGGCAGAGAGACAGAAATAAGGAAAACAGCGTATTTAAACGCCACTGCAGGCATCTGAGACTTGATCTTGTTGGGTCTCCCCTTGAAAAGCCAAGGTCACTTCTGTTAACCCACCAAGGGAGAGAGGAAGATGACGCTCTCTCTCACGAATCCATTGCTGAAGCCTACTGGGGAAGCTTATGGAGGAAAGCAGGTCATTAATTCCCTGGCATGTCTAGGGCCAAGACACAGGGAGCCAAGTTCCCAGTCTACTGAGTGGTGTCAGCAAAAAGCAGCCATCAGAAAACGCAAGGAGAGTAAGTTAGAAGCCAGTCTGTCACACTGAAAGTTAAATCTCAGGGGAGGGATAGGGTGGTGCTATTTTCTCTTTTCAAAGGGGCAGGTAATTCAACAGTCAGACTTGGGCTTCAGCGGGAAGAAGACAACAGCAATACTGAAAATGCAACCTCAACCTCCGCTGCATCACATCTTGTCAGCAAAAGTTCTATAAACAGATGAAAAGTATAACAGAAGTATTCATAGTGAATTTCAATACACACATTAAAAAACACGTTGCAAAAAATAAAAATCTCAGGAAAGTGACAATTTACTTAATACAGAGCATGAATACCAGCAAGTGTTCCACAACTACTATTCTTAAAAATATTAGATCTAGGGCTGGAGCGATAGCACAGCGGGTAAGGTGTTTGCCTTGCACGCAGCCGACCCAGGATCCCATATGGTCCCCTGAGCACCGCCAGGGGTAATCCCTGAGTGCAGAGCCAGGAGTAACCCCTGTGCATCACCGGGTGTGACCCCAAAAACAAAACAAAACAAAACAAAAAAACACAACATTAGATCTAAACTAAAGGTGATGCTTTCAATATTTATCTTTTTTAGTTTTTAAATGCAACAGTAAACAGGTGAGTGCTTAAAAGAGAAAATCTATTTTGGGGGCTGGACAGACAGTACATCTGTTAGGGCACTTGCCTTGCAGGCCAACTTGGGTTTGATCTAGGCATTCCGTATGGTCCCTGGGGCATGGCCAGGAGTGATTCCTGAGTGCAGAACCAAGAGTAACCCCCTGAGCATTGCTGGGTATAGGCCAAAAACAAATTAAAAAAACAAAACATTTATTTTAGCATATCAGCATAAGTTTTTGTTCAAGATGTTCCAAATTCTGTACCAGGCCATAGGAAATAATAAGAAAAAGTCAAAGTTATTGTAGGAGAAAGCAATTTGTTAGTTTAAACTAGAAGGACTATTAATGATCGAAAATAACTACAGAAAGAAAAAAACCGTTCGTCTCACATTCCCAACTTTTCTGATGACTTTCACAGGATGAATTTCCTGTTAACTCTCAGTCCTACAAAGTATACTTAATGGTAGCTGAAATTCTGGGGGGAAGTGAGTATCGGAAACTGAACGAAATCAGTTTCATCAGCGCACGGAAGGAATAGACAGGGCGCCAAGAGGAGTGACAGGGGCCAGAGAGACCCGGAGGGGAGTCTGCTTGCCTTGCGGGCGGCTGGCCCGGGTTCAAATCCCCAGTGCCAGCGCCCCGCCAGGCGTGATGCCTGGTGGGCTCAGGGCCATGAGCAAGCCTCGAGCACAGCCCGGCATGATCCAAGCACCACCGCTTTTCCTTTTTATCTTTAAATATAAAAAGGGAGTGCGTGAACAGCTTCCACAAGTTCCAGTCGCTTTTCTCGAAACAGCGGGCGCTTTGAGCAACCAAGTGGGGGAGGAGGGAACTCGGGATGGACACCGCCTCTCCTGGCTTCCCGTGGACGAGACACCGAGGAGACCCTGTTCCAACCGATCTGATCCGTGGAAACGGCCACGGGAAAGCGCAAACCCAACCAACGCCCCACTGCGAATGCGTCGGTCAACAAACCCATCAAGGGCTCGGGTGAGCGAGGGCGAAAGCACCGAAAGCCGCTTCGACGCAGCAGCCACCGGGCGAAGGAGGCCCCGCGGCGCCGCTCCCGGTGGCTCCCAGCGCCCCGCCCGGCCTCCGAGCAGCCCCCGCCGGGCACGCGGGCCCCCGCGGGGCGCCCCAGGCCACCCCCAGGCTGGGGCGCGGGCGCGGCGCTCCCTCGGCCCGGGCCGCGCCCCCCGCAGACCCCGGCCCGCGCGCTCCGCTCGCCCCTGCCCGAAAGGCTCTTCGCCCCCCACGCCCGCGCGCAGCGTCCCCCGGGGCTCCCCGGCCCGAGAGAGCCGCTCACCAGGTTGCGCAGCTGAGCCGCCTGCTCCTTGTGGTAGTCCAGCCGCCCCAGGGAGCAGGGCCGGTACTTGTCCACCCAGAGGCTCATGTCGCCGCGCGTCCCGGGCGGGAGGGTGGCGGGCGGGGGCGGTCAGGGCTTGAAAATCCCGCGCGCGCGCGTCCGCCACCCGGACGCCGAGACGCGTCTCCCCGCGGGGGCCCGGCCGTCCTGACGTCACTTCCGGCCTCGGCCGCGGGAACCGCCGCTTCGCGCCGCTCGGACTACGGACGCCTGGAGCGGGCAAAATTAACCACGCGCGGGCTTCGCTGTTTTCGTCCCGTTTCCTTTCGTGTCCGTTGTAATCTCCAGAATGATAAGCAAGATTAAAACCTGGGACCCGAACGTTCTGGGAATCAGAGTCGCTGTCGTGAAGGAACCACTTCGTTAACTACACTTATTCTTTTCAAAGTTCATTTCTTTCTGCGGAAACCTGCAAAGGACTGTCCAGACTGAGCTCTGATCTTGGCACGAGAATACGAAAAGTTTGGAGCTCCCCTCACTTGGTCGGAGTCTGAGGAAGCTTTATTGAAATTCAAATATTTTAAATTAAAAATATCAACTCTTCACTTGCCTTCCATTCCTCAAGATCCTGTTTGGATTGGGAAGGGAAAGATAGTGCATGTGTTAATGCCTGTGCCTGACCTAGGTGTTTGATCACAGCACCCCTGGGTGGCTCCTGTGGTCCCCCGCTGAAGGGCAGGGCAGCAGGGAATCCTCAAGTCCTAGCTGTGAAACTCCGGTGCTGCACAATCATTTGCATCTTATCCTACTACCGCCCCCCCCCCCCCCCATCACCACCAAAGATTCTTAGTGGATTCAATCAAAGGAAGCAAAAGGGCCATGAAAAACTGCAGAAATGTGACTTGTATTTGATAAGACATAAAGTCAACAAGTTTTTCTAAGTCCAGGATGTTAGAAATTTCTATAATTAAAATGTCAAATGCTTGAGGAAATATTTTGCTTATCAAGTCTCTGTGAAATGGCTCCTTGTGCCCCTCAAATTGAAAATCCCTCAAAAGAATTTAAGAATGACTTCAAAATTAAAAGCCAACAAACTTTTTTGTTTCAGGATCTATTGTCACTGTAGAAGCTGTTTCTCTTATCTTGTCCTATGCCTAGCACCAGTTCCAAAAAGGAAAAGGTTTGGGCCAAATCCTTAAGTAAAAATCTGTTGAGATTTGCAGATACATTGGAGTACTATGCCTCAGAGAACCTTTGCTTACAAGGCTGATTCGCACCAGCTGAAACTGGCCCTTTCTAAAAAGTTGTACCCCTGGTTCTTTTCCTCTATGCATTGATTCTTATACTGTGCAGGAAGCTGTTTTTCTAAAATTGAGTAGTGTGAGGTTTGCTGGGACAAAATGGCCACGGGAACAAATGACAACTGACTGATGAGACAGCAACATTCCCAGAATCAGAGATTACCCTGTCCCCAGCGTGAAAGACAGGACTTGCGGCCCACCTGGTGACAGGAAGCCACTAGACTGAGTTCCATGCTTTCTCACCATACCCCTACAGATAATGAGAGCCAGACCAAGCTCAAGAGGTTCACTAGTCTTGGTTCCATTTCCCCTTCCAAGATAACTTAAAAGCACCCTTAGTCTCTCCCCAGGCGCAGCTCTATCCCAGCTTCACCTGAGAGTTGTAGAGTCTACCCGGGAGTACCCCCCCAATAAACTCGTCCTAGTTCCTTCATTTATTCATCTCTGTCCCTCTGTCTGCACCAGACAGGGTTACCAAATCTATCAAGTAGTCTACCGTCTAACCTGCCAATTAAGCTTGTTGCTTATTAAAGCTGGTTCTCTGCCCATCATTCTGTATCTCTATTGATTAGTTCCTTGTATCATGGTGGATCTTCACAGTTGCAAAACTACCTCTCTAAAACATATTTTCTAGTTATACATACAATCACTGTCACTGTCACTGTCCTCCCGTTGTTCATTGATTTGCTTGAGCGGGCCCAGTAACGTCTCCATGTTGAGACTTGTTACTGTGTTTGGCATATTGAATATGTCACGGGCAGCTTGCCAGGCTTTGCAGTGCAGGTGAGGTACTCTTGGTAGCTTGCCAGGTTCTCCGAGAGGGGTGGAGGAATGGAACCCGGCTTGGCCGGGCTGGCTGCGCAAAAGGCAAACGCCCTACTGCTGTGCTATTGCTCCAGCCCATACATACAATAAGTTAATTTATTCTTTTATTTATTCTCAGAATCCTAACCATATCACATGATTGCAAGGTCTTTCAGGATAGGACTTGTTTTTCAAAGAATACTAACATGAAAGAAGTATTCAAAGAAGGGGGCAAGAGTAATTAGCACAGTGGGTAGGGCATTTGCCTTGCACGCAGCCGAACTGGGTTCAAATCCCTGCATCCTGTATAGTCCCCTGAGCACCGCCAGGAGTAATTCCTCAGTGCAGAGCCAGGAGTAACCCCTGAGCATCACCAGGTGTGACCCAAAAAGCAAAAAAAAAAAAAGTGTTCAAAGAAGAGATTTTGTATATGAAGTAGGATGGCCACCTACAGCACCAATCCCTTAATGATTCAAATTCTTCAGTTCAAAATGGCATAATGATACTTGCTTTGCATGGGCATTTGAGGGCCTATTTCAGTAAGCTTGTTTAAACATGGAAGCACCCAACTGATCATTATACTTTATTGAAAAGACATATATATACACATAACAGGGATGGGGGGTATATATAATAAGACAGTAAGAATGCATCAAGGCTAGTCCTGTATTGCAAAGGGGAATAATGAGTATGAAGGTGGGGGTAGAAGGGAAGAGGAAATGATGAGGTAGACTGGATGTTACACAGTAACTATGGTGGAGTCTTGGGTACTTTGTACTGAGTTGAGGTGCCTGTGTATGTTAAATCATAAGTAAGGTAAAAGTAAAGGTAAAGGCCCTCCCGTTGATCGTCGATTTGCTCGAGCGGGCCCAGTAACGTCTCCATTGGAGACTTTGTTGTTACTGTGTCTGGCATATCGAATACTCTCGGTAGCTTGCCGGGCTCTCCAAGAGGGGCGGCGGAATCGAACTCGGGTCGGCCATGTTGGCCGCGTGTAAGGCGAACGTCCTACCCGCTGTGCTATCGCTCCAGCCCTAAATCATAAGTATTAACATTATTATAAACATGTGACTCAAACTATAACAGTTCCTTTTTTACAATTAATTTATCAATGGAACAGTGGATAGGAGTGGGGTGGGGATTTTAGAATACTGCAAAAGGGGAACTAACACTGGTGGTGGATGTGCAAATGAAACACAGTATGCCTGACTCAGTTATTAAAAGTATTGAGAATCAGGAAGTAGAGCCATAGGTATAGCAGGTAGGGCATTTGCCTTGAACATAGCTAACCTGGGTTTGATTCCCCATAGGGTTTGCTGAGCATCCTAGGACTGGTCCCTGAGCCAGAGTAAGCCTGGCACAACACCAGGTGTGGTCCAAAAACAAAAACAAAAATGTATTGTAAATCTTGGTGCTTAAATAATAATTTGGAAGATAAAAGATTTCAAGGTTAAAAGTGCAAAGTGATATAAATAACAATGTGAGCCATAGCACAGTGGGGAGGGTGTTTGCCTTGCACTGCCAACCTGGGTTTGATTCCTCTGTCCCTCTCGGAGAGCCAAAGAGCCAGCATGCTACTGGGAGTATCCCACCTGCAAGGCAGATCCTGGCAAGCTCCCCGTGGTGTATTGGATATGTCAAAAAGAGTAGCCACAAGTCTCACAATGGAGTTGTTACCAGTGCCCACTCGAGCAAATCGATGAACACCAGGAGGACAGTGCAGTGCCACCGTGTGCCTATACCCAGTGACTAAGTAGAATCAGGCTCTTTCCCAAAGGCCTTCAAGAAGGATAGGTCCATTCACTTCTGTGGCAAATCTATAATGGGTTCTTACCAGAATCTGTAGGAAACTCTTTATCCACACTGGATTCTTTTCATTTTATTAAAGGGAAGGAGGCACACGTGACATGATTTCAAGAAGCCTAAGACTAGTCAGGAGTATGGATGCCGTTTAACTTCTTCTAAAACAGTGGTGATTTGGGCTTTATCTGAGTCTTTTATATCTTCTTTCTCTTCTTCTCCTTCTCCCCTTTGCCCTTTTCCTTTCTCCCTCTTCCTCCTCTTTGTCCCTCTCTCCCCCTTTCTCCTCCCTCCTCCTATTTCTGTTTTTGGAGTCATATCGTTGTGTTCTGACAGCTACTGCCTGTCCTCTGACGGCAAGATCACTTCCAGTGGTTCTAGGGGCCAAGCTCAGGTCTCCCGAATGCAGAGCACGCTCTCAACTAACTCAGGTATCGTTCTGGCCCAGTGTTCTTCTTCGTATGCGTCTGGAGAAATGTGAGCTTTCCTCTACAGAGAGCACACTCGGAAAGTGGCTATCATCCTGGCCTTCATTTAAAAGTGAGGGAGTGTTCTCATTAATCTTTTCCTTATGATTTCTTTATTGGCAGTGCAGTGATAATATTTAATTTTAATTCCATTCCTTCAATCATGGCAGGAAAATGAGAAGCTCTCTCTATGCACTTTAGAACAAACATTAAATAGTAAGTTGAAGACACTTTTTAATTTTGAGGTTTCTCATACATAAGTGTAATATAATGTTATATTTAATTTCTTGTAATAAAATGAAATTTCTACTTCTTAAACAATTGAGTATAGACCATGGCCAAGTATTTATGAACAATACTTTAAAGTTTCACAAATAGGAAATTGTGGCTGAGACACTGCTCTGTACTCCACAAACCACTCTTCTCCTCCTTGTTTCACTGTTGCTTTCTCCAGCTTCATCTGTAGGAAATATCTTCTGTCACCTAGTGGAGCCATGTGATAAAGTTACTGTCAATGGCAAATAAGCCACAATAATGCATCCCATTTTCACTCCAACTATATAATGCTCCTGGGTGAGTTTTATCCTTTCTCATTGGCCAGTTTATTTTTAGGCTGTTTTTGCTGAGAGCTTGAGACTTGTTACTGTGTTTGGTATATCAAATACGCCATGGGTAGCTTGCCAGGCTTTGCCGTGCAGGCAAGATAATCTCCGTAGCTTGGCTGTCTCT